TCTAAGAAGGCAGGAGAGTCCGAAAAACCGTAGGCAGCTAATAAAACGACGGTCTCCGCCGAATCGGAAATACCGTCATTATTCTACTTTTGGTAATCAACTTCAATGTTGTGGTATGTTCCTACACATGTATGAGACCGACATGTTGTTGTATGATATTCTGTACTATTTCTATGATAGAGTGTATTCACAGTTTTGTAGCATTTACTTTTATTGTTCCGCTTTGTACATTATAATTTTGCTTGTACACTTTTCCGAATATACATAGTTTGCATGCATATGTTGTACTGTTGGATAATATAATGAGTTGTTCATGCGTGCTACAAGGCAGGAAACAAAATTTAGAGAAAAAAAAAGAGTATGTCCTACTTCACTTTTATATGTATATAATGCATAAGTATATTGTGTTCTATATATAATGGTTACCATAAGCGCAATATGTAATAGTAAGTACTTTCATAATATATAAAATGTTTTTTAATTTTTCTGCTAACTCAAACAATTTGTGATGAACGTCAGAAATGTCTCAAAAGTTATAATTATTTCTACAACAACACTATCGTTCGTTACGACCGTATCCAGTGTAGAAACACCATGCTCCGCTATGACATCATCTACAGTGACAGCACTTGTCATGGGAACAACGTATACACCGCCTCTTCGTTATCCGGCTCTCAAATATTGTGGAGCAAAGTATGCACATATAATCCCCGTATATCCACAAATTCCATACACTATACACTCGTCTACACTCGTCGTCGCCGCTACCGCTACCGCTAGCGCTGCATGCGTCGCCGCCGCTCATCTGGGCTCCACGAGGGGGTGTTGTTCCCCGCCGTGTGCGTTGTGGTGGCGGCGGTGCCATTCATATTGGGCCGTATCGGTGGCGGCCGTATTCGGCCGTGTGCGTGTTAGTGCTTTCTCTCATCGGTCCTTACCTGCCGCTTCCTCTGGTGTTGGCGCCGTGGTGGCGGCTTGTCCGTTTTTGCCATCGTTCGCTGCAATAAAGGAAGAAATAGGAATTACAAGGGTCAGTATGTACGTTTTATATTATTCGAAGCATACAGAAACGAACGTTGTTCACATATCTCCATCGTGTGTCGCGTTGCTCTTTCCCTTTTACTTCGACACTGTCTGTAGTTGTGTTCTGTGTACTTATCCTTCCTGCGTCGTTCTCATCTTTCTCATTCGACCGGAACATGCCATGCCTTACCTAAGTTCCCCTTCTGTCCGTGTGCCTTTTTCTCTATGCGTTCCTCTGCCTGTTTCCGGATTTCCTCAAATATTTCCGTCATTGGGTCTTGCAGCTCATGCACTATCTGAACAATCGGCGACCGTTCCTTATCCTCTGTTGTCCCATTCCCCAGGATGTCCTGTAGGTTCCAATCTTCCTGCCACAGCGTGCTGCACAGTGCACCGCCTTTTATTTTCTGTATTGCCTCTTTTAGTTTACTATTTTTCCCTAACCATAGTTTGACTTGTTCATTTAACTTAAGTTCCCTTATTTGTACTTCCGAAAATATGTTTCTACCACATTTCCGCTGCTGTATTAAACCTGCGTCAAATCCGCCGTCCGTGCCTAATTGTCCCATTATGTACCATGCATAAAAAGTACCCCACCTACTTGGACACACGGATTCGTTTAATACTGCGCTGAACATATGTACTATTGCACATCGTAAATGCTCTCGTATGATTGCGTTGGTTGCAGCGTCCGTAACTGTGGCCTGTGCTTGCCTTGTCCCCCAATTCATGAAATATAATGCCCCTACCATAAGTACGCATACAAGTTTATCCCCCACCGTGTGGTTTCGATAGGGCTTATCGTTTGGGTAGTCGGGGTGCTGCCATCCTGCGTTACCACAGGCCGTTGCATACAGTATTATATCGTCGCCCTGCATGTGTTCCACAAACTCCTGCATGACGTCTTTAGTCTTGTTCCACACTGCTTCCTACAATGTAAGAGAAACACAAGAAATATATACATGCGCATGTGTACTTTAATTCTATGTGCCCCGATGTGCTGCATTCTCTCGTGTAACAATAAAACCCTAGCACTGAACTGCCCGTTCGTCACCTCTATTCCTGCATGTTCCTACCTCATATGTATCCTGATCGGGAAAACCCGCGCGGATTAACCAATCCGCCAATGCATGCGCCAAATTTACCGATCCCATATTACTATTGTTCACTGAAATATACGATACCCTGGGAAGTACTCATTCATTACTAGTATTCGTATTCTTGTTATATTGCATCAAGCCCCTGTTGCTTGCAAGTTTAGTCGATAATAAAGCTTCTGTCGTTGTTCACTGCTCTCTGCAGGTAGCAATCACACTGTCCATAAAAAGAGAAAAAATCAAGCACACAAACATAGAAGAAAGCATGTACAAAAACAAAAAATATCCACAGGAATTGCAGATAGAGAATACCGGGAAGAAACGGAAAAAAAAAAAAAAAAAAAGACAGGATAGCAAAAAATAGAAAAAATACTACACAACGCGTCATGAATATACACCCCCTCCCCCCTTCTCCACTAAACGCCTTCACACACTGTCTCTGTGTGCGTACACCTCAAAACCGCAGTATAACAACAACATCAATGCTTCTGCCGTCGTTGCTACCGTCCTTCTGTCGTTCTTCCTGCCGCAAAATATGTATGTGCCTTTCCATCCCCCAAGCTCTCTGGATCCCTTATTCGGCTACTTCGTCGAATCCTTCTTACACGCGGCCGCGTTGGTCGACGCGTTGCTCGGAGAGACAATCCTCCTCCTTCTTACACTCGACCGCGTTTGCTCAGACCGACCCCCTTACTCGGAGACAATCCCGTGTACGAAGACGGCGGACGGCGGCAGGAGGAAGAGAACAAGTAGTTGTTGTGCATTTATCACGACTTCTAGAATCGTGATAGAGAAGCGTGGACGGAGACGGGCTGACGGAAGAGGCGTGGACGGAGAAGGCGTTGACGGAGAAGCGTTGACGGAAGAGGCGTGGACGGAGACGGGGTGACGGAAGAGGCGTTGACGGAGAACGGGGTGTGTGTATATTTTTGCTTGTTGTTGTTGTTAATGAACGCGGTAGTAGTAGTAGTAGTAGTCGGGTACTTTTTTTTAAGAAGAGAATAAAGTGTTTTTTTTGTTTTGGGGGGTTTTTTATGTCTGCGTCTGTTTCACTTTTTGTTTTCTTTCTTGTTCGTTTTCTTTTTATTCTTTTTTTCTCCTTTTTGTGTGCTTATTTGCTCAATATACGTATACATAATTTGCGGGTAGCATGTACATGGTCAAGGCTGATATAGTTGTTGAGCGCGCACCAGATATCTTTTCTTACACGGGGAAAATAATTATAATAAGAAAAGCAGCAGCATACGGAGAATACGAAGAGCACGAGCTACCACATCGTCATGCTAATGTTTGAAACACACACACGTGCCGTGCAAATGTGAATCAAATCATACTCATATAACTGTATATAGCAGGCACAATATGGCACACGACGTACATTGGGCTGCTCTAATTCGACAGTGGGCAGAGAGAAGAGGAATATGGCAACAGGATCAGTTAGATGTAAGGAAAATTTAAGGGTACAGGATGGAATAGAAGGCAGGATATATTGTGTGGACCTATGAGTATACAGTGCACACAAGGCAACCTCTAACACACTGCAACGTTCATGACGCGCATGTATATGCATATAGTAAAGGTGGCCCTTTCCTTTTGTGTTCTACTTCTTAGACGAAGTTATGGGATGACATTATGACCGTACTTGAGGCATTTGTAAAGTTCTTGGAAAGATTTGAGCAGGAGGGCCATGCGGACACTTGGGCTACATCGTGTAATGATGTTTCATACGACGGTACATGGATTCGCCTGGGATCCAGAAGAGAGAGGGAGCACACAACGTGCACATTAATGCTTGCAGCATTATGGTTCAAGAACGGGTGGACGGGTAACACAATGGATGCGGACACAGACTGGGGGCCGGACAATCCACTGCGGCAATTTGTCAAGTGTGCCATAGTCAGTATATATATGTATTACTTAATAGAAATAAACTGTGGGGATACGACAGGTGTGAACTATGCACTAAAAGCAATGAGTCAGATTGAGCGGGATCTGAGGCACGCAGGTACGCCTGCGAATGAATGCTTATGGGAGCGGCATGATCATACGAAGATTGGGGAGAAGAATGTAAACGCTACAGTCAAAACCTGGTTGAAGGGGAATGCAACCATGTGCAAGAGGATACAAGATTTAGAGAAGAAGACGAACTGTACACAGGGAAATGCAACACACACAACGGGGAAAGGTGTACTTGCGGAAAAAGAAATCAAAGATAAAATAATGGACAAAATGCAGCAGGTGCAGCAGGAGGTGCAGGCAACAAAAGCAGGAAAAGGGCACATAGGGACAGATAACGTAAACGCCAGGAACAGCATTAACAGTCAATGTAGGACAAACGCCGGAGCACATGTACTGGGCATGTGCATGTACAGCGCAAAAAGCGCAAAAGCAGAGACTTCAGAGCGGGACGGAGCACGAATACGAACATGCAAGAATGAGCGCATGTCGACCACAAATTTGTGGTTGCACTTTCCTACATACTCTGAGCACTCCCTTATCCTTATTCATAGATCCGGCGCAGACTCCACCGGAGCCACCACCCGGCAAGGACTCCGTCGATGCACAACCAGAGGCTACAGCAACGCCGGGAACCACACCACCACATGGATCAATAGGTAAGGACCGACGGGGAGAAAGCACGACTACGGCCCATACGAGTACGAATACTACGCACGCGTCCCGCATGTACACCGCATGGATGCCGCCACCACACAAACACGGCCACAACAACGCGCACGCGGCGGAACAGCACAGCACAACGTCTTCGTCGGCGTTGAGCGGCCAGCGGCCTCCGTAGAATTGCCGAGTGCGCGGGGCTGCGTCACAGTGGTGTGACAGCGGTGCGACGGATAAAGCAGGCGACGTATGGAGCTAAGGCCATGAGGGATGCAGCGGGACGGCGGACGAGATGACGGCGACAAATAAAAGTTGTACTGCTACCATCTAGCCAAAGTTCACCGAGTACGCTGTCCACCGAGTGCGCCCCCTGAATCTCTACATTCATCCGGCAACTGTTACACACCCATATGCTCCTATATTACCATCATTGTTAGGACAACCGGAAGAAGAGAAACCAAAGGACACAACACAAGAAACAGGGCACACTGCAACACCCTCCACACCTGTTACAGTGCCAGTTGCAAGATCAGAGGAACCTGCGGAACCACCATCGACACCATCATCACCACCTTCAGCAGGAACAGGCCAAACACAACCAGGAGGTACAGGTAATGGTACCACACAGACAACACCGGAACCCGCAGAAGGCACTACGGGCAAAGACTCACGTCAGGGGCCTATTCCTGCGACGACGTCAACATGTGGGACAACAACAGACACTGAGACTAAGGAGGTAAATGGGAATACCGCCACCATTACAATCACTACCGTGGAGTCCTCATCCCCTGAATGCTCAGGAAGCGGTACCCCAGGTACTGAGTCCGCTGAGCACAAAGAACGAGAGAACAAAAAAAAAGAAACAACAACAATTTCCGGCGAGAGAGGGAGAGACAACACCGACAGAGGGCGAGAGAGAAACCAAACGTCGAATGAGAATGCGGGGCGGACTCAGTGTCAGCGTGAGCGGGCCATGAGCGACGGGTCGGCCGCGCGATGTAGACGTCGATGTAGACGTAGACAAACACAGGCAGACGCACACACACACAGTGTGTGTTGTGTGTTGTGTAGTTGGAGAGAGAGAGTCTTTTCCCAGAGTGGCACCCTACCCCCGTCCCTGCTTCCTGGCTGCTTCCCCCATGCCGTCCCCCTGGTACCATGTGGCCAACCATGTGCAATCACCTCAAAAAAATTCAGTTTCTTACATATTCTTCTTTCCCCCTCGGTACCTATTTAGGAACTGAAGCAGGGGACAGTAAAACGACAACAGAATCCCAGAAACCATCAGAACCTCCAGCTGTAACAAAGCCAACATCTGGTGACCCACCAGCAGCACCGCAAGTAGAAGCAGAAGCAGCCACAGGAGCACCAGCTGCACCTGCACCAACACCACTCGCCATCGACTCTACAACGGGGAACTCAGGAGACCAGAATACCTCAACGACACCTCCTGACAGCGATTCCCCGGGCCCCGACTCTCCCCCATCCTCCCCTGATGGAAAAACTGAACATACTAAGGACCCACAGACCGTGGACCCTGCTGTTAGCTCAACTGAAGGTGCCCAGGGGGCACCCAGCAGTGGCACGGCCAGTAACGATGACCCCCCTCCTCTCAATTCACCCAAACCAAAACCGAACCCGAACTCGGATGAAGCCGGCAGCGGCACCAATGGTGCCGGCGGCACCCAGATACCAGGTAGTGCACCTTCTGCTGGTACTGAGGGGGGTGCAGGAGGACAAACCGGTGCTGGAGCTGGGGGTGGAGGTGGTTCCTCATCCTCCGGTACAGAACAAGGAACAGTAGGCTCGACCACCACCACAGACACGCAGACACCATCAACAACAGTAACACCAATATCAGCACAATCACCACTGGTACCATCGGCCCCCAAGGGGGGTAATGGTGCTGTATCTGACTTTGTTCCCCCTCCGTCGAAACCATTCGACCCCAAGGATCTCATCCCCTACACCCCCGCGATCATTCCCGCGGTGGTTGGTATTGGGCTCATTGCCTTTTTCCTATGGAAGGTAAGTATACACGACAATGAGGGCATGCCGCATGTGAAGGATGTTTATGCCTCAGAAACTCCCTACGCGCACCCATATATGATCGTTCTAACCCATATACACCTACACCCGCGTGCATTCCTTTTATCCTACCGTCCTCACCCTCCTCTTTACCCCCTTTTTCTGCTTAGTATTTTGCGCACCTCGCCAAACGACGACGAAAGTTTCGAACCGTTCGTGACGTGCCGTCACCGCCACTCGACGAAGACATATTGGACCATCTACAACGAGGCGAACTGCCGCCACTCGATTACGGCTACACGATGATTAGGGATAGTCAACCTGCGTCAATATCCGCCCGACGACGACGTCAACCACGCGTGCATAAACGCACCATCATCGAGCTACATCTAGAAGTGCTCAACGAATGTGAAGTGACCGAATGGCAAAATGTCAAAGACGACTATTTGCAGATTGTCGTGCAGGCGTTTGCGCAGGATTTGCTGCGGGACGACGACACGAATAACAGTATCTTGGGTGTTTCTACGTCAGACCAGGGTCCTCCAGGGACCCATGTTTCCTCCACCGTGGATCAATCCACTGACATCGAACGAACGGACGCATCTGCACGTAACGCAGAGCACCCCGATCCATGGCGTTGTATGGAAACTATACAATTACAAACGGACCCATGTCGCCCTAACGAAGATAACCACGATCCATGGAGTTGTATGGAAAACATAGAGTTAGAAAGGGACCGTTGTCCACCGAATGAAGAGGACCCCGATCCATGGAGTTGTATGGAAACCATACCGTTACAAACGGACCCCTGTCGACCTCATGACCCCGATCCATGCAGTTGTATGCAATCCATACTGTTAGCAACGGACCCTTGTCCACCTCACGAACAGGACCTCAATCCTTGCAGTTGCATGGAAACCATACCATTACAAACGGACCGTTCTGCATCTGACGCCGATGACCCCGATCCATGGAGTTGTATGGAAAACATACAGTTCGCACCGGACCGTTCTCCACCTAACGAAGAGGACCGATGGAGTTGTATGGAAAGGGTTTAGGGTTCAGGGTTTAGGGTTCAGGGTTTAGGGTTCAGGGTTTAGGGTTCAGGGTTCAGGGTTTAGGGTTCAGGGTTTAGGGTTCAGGGTTTAGGGTTCAGGGTT